AAACAGTACCCTGGCCTCCTTGACCAAGTATTCTATTCTTGTTGAAATGGTCAGTTGCCCTCTCCAACTCCTTGGTGCTGAATATTTTGGTCCTTTCAATATTACCCTCAGTTGAAGAAAGTTCTTGCTGCAATAATAATTTGAAGAACTGTATCTGGAGGTTCTTTTCCCTTCTGTTCTTTAAAATTGGGTACAACCAGTATGCACCAATAAGTAAGCAGACTACTCCAAACCCTACGCTAATGCCTGCAGGGATTAAGAAAGGAGAAACGGATGACTTTAGCGGGAGGTACACATGTATATCAAAAGTTGATTGTATAAAAGTCCAGTTTCATGGTTAGTTAGAAAATTCGAAATGAAATGAAATAAAATAAATAAAAGTCCACGGGATTGTGCATGGTCTTTAAGAAAGATCTTTAGGTGAATAGGTAACAAAGATGATGAGAGATGGTGTAAGTAATTAGTATTGAAGTTGGGGATGGTAGACAGACCTCCCTTTTTGGTGAGTGTTGGCTACCAGGAGACAGACTTTGTGATAGGCTACAAAATATGGCTGAGATCACTAACTGCGGGGCATGAAACAAAATTTCCCAGTGGGGGCAATTGGGATGGCAGATACCAACTAGTTTTGAAAGGAGACATTCTAGCTGAGATCAAAAGGCTTGACTTTGTCTGAGGGAGACAATAAATTTTTATTGTAGTCAGGGGCTTCTCAATCAATAAAGCTACCAATTGTCAATTGATGAGGTTACAGACTTCTAGGTTCATATAGTCCCTTGGTTTAGATTGGCGTGGAATTCTGGTTGGATTCCTGGGCACCATTTTATTCTCTAGATGCTAATGAAAGGTTTGTTGAAGAGAAAGGATACAAAGGATAGGTACTGAACTGGAGAAGGATGCATTTAAGTTTTAATTTTCTGTTGTGTTATTGTGCCGAGGAATCATACAATACAAGTATCTCTTTTTTGAATGCCCTTTTGCTTCTCGTGTGGAGAACTGTGTTATTGAGATTGGCAATTAGTAGAAGGCCGAGAAGTTGGACCGAGGAGTGGGAATCATACAAGCATCATACAAGTACTTTTTTGTGCAGTTCCCAGTTTAAAAAACACCATTTTGAACTTTTAACACCCGAAGGTATTATAAAATTGAATTATTATGCTAAAAATAAATAAATAAATAAAAGTCGAAAAAGTATTGGGCTCACCCAAAATTATTGGCCAGGCTTTTTTGCCTCGTTTGGGTTCGCAAGCGTAGCCCCCTATCTTGTTTACACAAATTGAGTCCGCAAAACACGTGGAATTGTACCGAGGGTCCTTGCATTCATCAATATCTAAGACAAAAAAACAAAAATAAAATCAGCAAGACATTAGGAACAAAAATACAGAAAAATATATATATATATATATATATATATATCATAGGCATAAAAAAATCTCCAACGGCTAAACCTCCTGCCCTTGGTTAGTTTTATTGCAGGTTTTTGTAAAACTAGCCAAGATCAAAAAGCCGAATAAATATCCGTGTTTTCTAATAAAAACTTATGTTACAGGAACTAAAACTTTTTTTTTTTTCTTATTGTGTTTAATGTTTTTCAAACAAAACTCAGTTGGTAGATGATTGTAAAAAAATAATAAACAATAAATATTATAAATAAAAGAAACGAGACACAGATATAACTAAAGAAAAAGTGGAGGGGATAGAAGTTCACCGTGGCATCCATGTGGTAGATAAGGGTTGCCTTGAAATCCACGTTCACAAAAACATTGTTGACTTGCGATTGAGGATGTTGAAGATAAATTATAGAAGGAAAACAAGTAGGAATTTTTATCACCATAACGAATAATATCATTAGTACTATTAAACTGGGAACAATTAAATGCATTCTCATTTGAATGTGGTAATTGTGATACATCTTCATCAGTAATCGCCCATTCTAACACGCCTGGAACATATCCCTCATCGGGGGACGTTCTCCTGACGGACATAAAAGGACTTCCAGAAAGATCCAAAGGTTTCCATTCTGTAAGATCTACCGGGGAGGTTGTGGGGAGATTGACGTCAAGAACGCTGGGAACAAGAGATAAAGACCGTACCTCAATTTCTCTGCTGGTTAGGAAAGTTCTAGGAGGATTGAAAGACTCATTGCAGGTGACCGCAAACCATTTCCTCATGTAGCAATCTGTTCCGATTCCAAAGGGGTATGGAATGCTGACATTCCCACAAAACTTTTGACAGCCAAGTTTCACCAGAGCCTGGCCTGCTGCTGATTCAATCATTAGCAGTGCTAAGAAAGCAAAGAAAGGTGATGTTCGGATGATCGTCATTTCTTTCGTTCCTCAAATGCTGATTAGACTTGAGATTTAGAAAACAGTATAGGTGGAACCTTATAAGTAGTAGAGATGAAATGTATGTTCCTATGCATGTTCTGGGACCGCCCAAACGCTGAAGTTCAAAGAAAGACTAAAACTCATTGGCTTGACTAACACTATAATACCGTGTATTGCTAGAAAATTTTAATTTGACAAAGTCCACTAATTGCGACCGCTTCTGAGAATATTACCTGCTTTCTAGGATAGTTGGCGATTCGAAAATTCTTGGCTTAATTTCTAGATTCAAATGCAAAATTCTACTTGGCCTTTCAAAAAATATATACAAAATTCTACTCCCTTTTGCAAAATAATAGTGGTCGTTTGATCTAGAAATTGTTAGAGGTTGATTTTTGTTTTTTCATATTTTAAGGAAATAAATAATTTTTTTAGTTTAGGCCTATCTTCATTCTTTGATTTTAATT